TGTCTTGACTGATTAGTTGCACTAGTACATTTATGTATTGAACAGGATCCCAGAGAGGAGCAGTTCGTTTTATACTGATCGTCGTAAACGAACTAAACCTCGGTTAATTATTGCGTACCCTTAACCCGTAAGATATTAAACAGGCATAGATGTGTAGTACTTATTACTTTGATACACATGGGTGAGGTTTAGTGAACTGGCCAATAGACCCGCTGTCTTGGGTAATATTACTGCATGTAGGATGTGCTGTTAGGATATTTACGGTCACCATGTGCGTTAGTATGATGATGTTCCCGGAGTGAGTTCATGAAGGATTATTATGCTAAACCCTGCAGGTGGATTAAATTCCGGCATAGTAATAATGTGATGAACGAGCGCTAGCTTCGGTGAAATAATAATAAATTAATTAATTCATGATTGTCAGTAATCGAATTAATTAATGGACATTATATCTTAAACATGGGGAGATAAATCGAATAATTATTATTGGAGTCTCAATTGTAAATAGGGCTAGGAAAAGGAAGTGCAATAATATTATGTTGGTGGCCCATTTAATATTATTTAATTAATTAAAATAAGTGGCTTGGTCCACAAGTATTTTAATTAATTAATGAGCCATTCTACTAATCTCCTAAGGGTCCCTACTGTAGCTCTATATATACATCATTAAGCTCATGGGAAGAGAACACATGAATAATCTTACACGCCAATGACGCCGCCCCATATTCTCTCTCTCAGTTCCCATTCGAGCTTTATCTTCTTCTTGTTGTTCTACCGGTACAAGATTAAGAGGTGTTTGAGACATACAATAGAAGATCTGTAGGTAAATCGAGACGAAATATATTTTGCCGTACAAAACTAACCGGAGGTCCGATCAAGACGTGCAGCATACCCAGACGACCGTCTCGACGAGAGCTTTCCAACGCTGCCGCGATCGCCGCCGTACGATGCCGCACGCGTGATGAATACCGTGTGTCTCGATTGCCGACAAGTCCCTCCCGCGCCTTAAATCGTCGATACTATGCTCGTAGGTTCACACACTCGCGCCCCTTCGAACGATAATTTGCAATAGAACACTTAACGTAAACTAAAGCAAGAGATTTGAACAAAGTTCGGTTATTGTATTCAGAAGAATTAATTATGTCTAATTTAGAACAAGGCACGCCTATTTATAAGGCTCAAAATAAAGATCTAGTCCTAATCTACTTAGACTAAACTACTTACTCTATGAAAGCAATAAAATATAAAGTATCCTAAACAAACTAGAAAACAAGGAAATAAAATATTAACCAAGCTATCTAGAATATTCTTGCGTCCTTCCTCTAGTCGCCTTGCCCCGCCTC